AAATGTAAAAGTATTATAAAGTGTAGGCTAATCAATCAGTCTCTGTTGTGCCGTTTCCACTGTGCCGGTGCTGGATCTCGTGCCGGAGCTTGTATCATGCCCTGCGTTTCACTCATAGCAGAAATATGTGGCGACTGTCTCAATAATATGTCCATAAACAATCAGTGTGTTTTGACAACATATTTTAACATCACTATACAGCACAAAGCTGTATTTAGAAGACACTGTTTGACAGAGCTGCACTGCTCTCTCCTGAAGAGGCCACAAAAAGCCTGGGTTGTTACATCTGAACCAGGATCTGGGTTACACGAAATTACTGTACCCAAACACTGGGTAGTTACTCTGTAAAAATGCATGTGCTTTATCAATAGAATTGTGGCAACAGATTACAAGGAATAATATTAATTAAATGTAACAAATTAGAATTGAGTAATAATTAATCAAATTATTCCTTAAAAGTTAACCATTTAAAATGTGTAAAGTTTACACCCAAAAATTTAACAAAAATATCTCACTAACAGACAGACCTCAAAGATTAATTAAGAACTCTTTATTTTCTATTGCCAACATTGAAGGCACCTGATGTTAGCAGTCATTTTTTTTAAAAAAACTAAAGCAAACAGTGATCACCATAATGGTGAATTAAATGTATGTTTTTTTTTTTTTTTTGGTTGTTGTTGTAAGTTTTACTCATTTTAAATGGTTAACTTTTAAGGAATTAATTTGATTAATTATTACTCAATTCTAATTTGTTAAATTTAATTAATAACATTGCTTGTAATCTGTTGCCACATTTTTATTTTATTTTTATTTATTTTTTTTGATTAGATAAAGCATAGGCTATTCATTTTTACAGTGTACGCCGGGCCCAGGAGCTGGTAAAAACAAAAACTGGGTTCTTACATCTGACCCAGGATCTGCGTTACACAAAACAACAAACACATTTGAAAGTGAATCCTGGTGATAAATTTTAGGCTATTGAACCTGGAACATTCTGATCATAAAATATAACATTTTCAATACCGCAATTTGTTGCCATCTCAATTGGTGTTTTCTATACAAGACAGAAAGCTCATTAATTTGGTGAACTCACAAACCGTGTTCCTAATTTACAAGTCTTAATGAACAATTTTAAAATTGTGGCAGCACCGCGTGCATGTTAACTTTGATATCTTCATTTCCGATCCCTGATTTGCTTAGTTTGATCTAATCATAATCGCAGTGGATCACAAGCATACATCTCTTTAACGCTGTCAATCTTGTAACACACTCCAATGAGTAATTCATTACGGCACCAGCAGGCACACTTTCACTCACCCTAAAGCTCAGTCACACTGTTAATTCTATAATTTCCCTGGAGCTTTTTTTTTTTTCTTTTCTGTTTTAGAGTGCCACCAGTCTTAAGTTTATGCCAGTTTTGAAAATAAATAAATAAATATATAAATATAATCAGCCTCAAATATAATTAAATCGGCAAGGCTGAACCATTTCAAAACCTTATCACACTGACAGAGCTGAAGGTTTCAGGGTCTAAGGAGTGTGTGTAAGTGTGTGTCTGAGCTCCAGGAGAATTGCTTTATGGTCTTTTTTCTGTTTCATTTAGTTTGTAAAGCCTTAAACAGGCTGGATATGGACCCTTCCCATAGCAATTTTATGGACACAAGCTTCGATTATATTAACAGATCAATAGCCCTCTTGATCGTGTAATACGGGTCAGTGAAACTTGGTCAAGGGCCATCTTGTTTCTTCCATGGCACATAAAACAGTGTCCACCTCAGATTCGGTTTCCATTTCAATTGCGTTTTTGACCCATATCTCCTGGGAAATAGCATTATTAAGTAGAGCAGTGCAGCAGACCATTCGTCAAATAGGACATGCTAATGCTAACCATAGCGGCGGGAACCCAGAACACCCGCTCATCAATCCTCACCAACTCAACCAAACATGACCCAGATGCCAACCAATCATTATACTAAGTCTCGTCTTGCTGGGTTCTGAAAGTTTGGATGATTAATAAAAAAAATATAAAAATGTGTACTCTTGCAAAGCAACCTTAAATGGACACTACAATCACTTATGTCAAAAGTTAATTAGCGGCCAGACATTTTAAGCACCAAAAAGGCCAATCTTGAAAAACTCAAATGAAAAGGCCTATGATGCTAAATGATGGGTTTATAAGACTTGGAATATAATTACACAATTTTTTTTATGATACTTCGTGGTGCTCTTCGGGCATTTTTGGACAAAATACTTAAAGTGCCCCTATGGGCTATATATCCACGCATAAGTTCCGCATTTGACACAAGGATGCTCGTCCATTTCCGGTTGTGGAGATTTAAGCGGAGGAAAACCGAGGAAAACGGGATTATGGCAGAGTCTTCAAAATTTACTGTCCTCCCGTCTTTGAAAACGAAACGTACATATGTTTAGATGTAATTATAGTTATGTTTATTCAATGTAATTTTAAAAAGAAGCATAAACACAACGAGGGGTGTCTGTTTTATCTGTTTTTGTGACTAACGTTTCTTTAGTATAACCATGGAGTATAAAATTCAATATAAATTCTCGGTATTGCATTGGACTCTACGATCGGCGGAAGTTATCGAGCATCCTTACACCTTCACCGGAAATACCACCGTGCATAGAGCCCATTATGCTTTTTGAATATAACCATAAAGCCCTATCTCATCCTTTAGCATCACATAGAACGCTATATGAAGAAACGGCGCTACACTACGCACATGGCACCCTTTATCGTTAATATAACACGTGAACCCAAGTCGTCAAAAATCCTTTAGCGTAATATGAGACTACCCTTCCCTACCCCACACCTAAACCTAACCATCACAGCGCGTGTTATATTAACGATAACGGGTGCCATGTGCGTAGTATAGCGCCGTTTTGTCATATAGCGTTCTCTATGACGCTAAAGGATGAGAATGCGTTGAACCATAATATAGTGATTTGTGAATGTAAAAGGCCTGCAAAGTTTTACGGATCAAAGTGCACGACAAGTAAAGTTACTTTCTCCCAAAAGAAAGCATTGATTCGCGCCGGTCAAAGCATCGATTCTGAACTTTCTCGCCAACAAATTTGACAAATCAAGAAATTTGCATAATGCAGCTTATATCTTCATTGGCTGCCCACAACTTCTAATTTGCCCTGCCCTCAAGCACCGTAGCTGGGGCAGAGTTTGGTTTGTGTTGTTCATGCTGTTTTCAGCGAGAATAAGGACTCGTGCTGGAATTGATGGGAGGAAAAATGTGGACACTTTGCATTTTTTAGAGTAAATGCTATTTAGTCATCCTTTTCCCTACAGCAGCTTCGTTTTATCATACAAATAAAACACAGCTATTGACAAATCAGAATCAAAGACTGGAAATTACCGTTTTATAAATACTGTATATTGTACATGTAAAATATTGCTTAACTGTAATTTGTGATTGTTTTATAGTATTTTGTTTTAGTTAAAGGGTTAGTTCACCCAAAAATGAAAATTAAGTCATTAATTACTCACCACCATGCTGTACCAAACCCGTAAGACCTTCGTTCATCTTCGGAACACAAATGAAGATATTTTTGATTAAATTTGAGAGCTGGATCACTCCTCCATAGACTTCCTAAGGGACTAGCACTTGACGGCCCATAAAGTCATTAAAGAAAATGTTTAAATATTCCATGTGCCTACAGCGGCTCAATTATAAGTTTATCAAGCGACGAGAATATTTTTTGTGCGAAAAAACAACAACCTAAATAACGACTTTATACGACTATTCCATTACTTCCTTATGGGCCTTTAGACGAGAATTGAAGCGATTTCTGGAATGCATGCGCGAGAACTGAGATGAGGACGTTCTTCTTCGACTACTTCTTGTTACCGACTGCTCACCGCTTAGGGGTATTACAGCCCGTTCTCATCCTTTAACGTCATATACTGTAGAACGCTATATGATAAAACGGCGCTATACTACGCACATGGCACCCTTTATCGTTAATATAACACGCGAACCCAAGCCGTTATAAATCCTTTAGCGTGAATATGACACGCACACCCTACCCCACACCTAAACTTAGCCCTCACAGCACGTGTTATATTAACGATAACGGGTGCCATGTGCGTAGTATAGCGCCGTTTTGTCATATAGCGTTCTATATGACGTTAAAGGATGAGAATGCGTTGGGTATTACCGCCACCTACCGTATAAGATGATGATCCATATATAAGGCGCTCCGGATTGTAAGGCGCACAGCACTGTCGTATTTGAGAAGATTAAAGGCTTTTAAGTGCGCCTTATAGTGCGGAAAATACGGTAATTGAAACGCGCATGTACAGCGCGCGTCTTCCTCTGCTTGTAAACCGAAAGTTTTACGCTTTCAGCTATATCAGCACGTCATCTTATACGGTAGGGGGCGGTAATACTAGCGGTTAGCAGCCGGTAACAAGAAGTAGTCGAAGAGGTACGTCCTCATCTCAGTTCTCGCGCATGCGTTCTGGAAATCTCTTCAATTCTCGTCTCAAGGCCCATAAGGAAGTTATGGAATAGTCGAATAAAGTCGTTATTTATGTTTTTTTTCGCATAAAAAGTATTCTCGTCGTTTGATAAACTTATAATTGAGCCGCTGTAGGCACATGGAATGTTTAAACATTTCCTTTAATGACTTTATGGGCCGTCAAGTGCTAGTCCCTTAGGCTAGCCTATGGAGGAGTGATCCAGCTCTCAAATTGAATCAAAAATATCTTCATTTGTGTTCCGAAGATGAACGAAGGTCTTACGGGTTTGGTACAGCATGTGGGTGAGTAATTAATTACTTAATTTTCATTTTTGGGTGAACTAACCCTTTAAACAGAATATGTTTCTTGTTATTGCCATCTCTCACCATTCAACAATGTCTGTTTGTAGACAGAACATCACAGGTGGAGCTCATCACGTCCACTAGCTGAGGCATTTAGTCCCTGAGGGACAGTAAAGGAGACTAAGAACCTCTTGTCTATCTTTCAGATCATGTTGCTGACAGATCCAGAGGTGGAGAGCAGTTTGCTCATCAGCTCAGATGAAGGCGCCACCTATCAAAAATACCGTCTCAACTTCTACATCCTCAGCCTGTTGTTCCATCCTGAGCAGGAGGACTGGATCCTTGCTTATGGCCACGACCAGAAGGTGCACACTCATTTTAGCTAAATAATTCCTGGAAAAAATATGGCAAACAGGATCTAATTATGAGGGATAGCAGTTTTATTGCTAAATATATAACCAAATTCATGAAAGACAACAGAACCACATTTATAGTATTTACTTGATAAACATTCAACGCACAAACTGAAGCAAGACATTATAGTAATGAAAAAAAAAAAGGATGCCGATCTATATTTGGGAAAGAAATATGTCCTCAAAGGGCAATTATCAATGTGAGAGAAAATACGTCTTAAAGAGACAATTTCAGTGAGCTTAAAGTTGGCAATTAAGACAATTTATGGATCCCCAGTCGCAAGGAATAACCATTAATTATATGCTTTCGAGCTCATGGTTTAGGGCTAATAAATTATGAAAAATTTTTACTCCTTTGAAAAGATTGTTTAAACATCATCTTTAATCATATAGTAAAAGGGTTTAACTATTCAAGATTTGTTTTATTTTTTGGATGCAACTGATGAATCATTTTAATTCAGACAAATAACTGTTCACAGTGGTATAATCAAATAACATTGATGATACGGTAGTTTCGAGTCTCGAGCGATGGTGTTAGACTTTGACAAATCAACATTGACTTCACCCTTAAAGGATAGTCACTACGAATTAATTACAATTAAATGAACACAATCAAAAAGAATTATCAGCCAATTCAAGGCTAATGGTTGACTGTTTGCACAATGCACATGACTAGCCATGGTTAAAAGCTATGAAAGGGCACAAAAATCACTAATAATAAACAGAGCAATCCCAAGAGGGTCCTCACGCCATTGGTGCTCGGGCCCTAATTAAACCCTATCAAAATCTATGCCACAAATAAATGCTTTAGTGTTTACAGAGTTAAACCTAGTGTCATTGGCAAAGTTCCTGAGGTTTATTTCATTATAACAGTAAACACGAGAGAGAAAATGAATGAAAAGCTCAGTAGCCTTCATTGGTGAACACATTTCAGTGAAAAGCAAACCAGCTAAGACCAGTTAAGGCTAGTTTAAGCTGTTGTTTTCTCATGGTTTCTGTCTGTTTTAGTTCAGTTTGATCTCGTTTGCGTGTCTAAATTTGACCGAGCTCTATCCACCCACAGTCAGGTTGTTATATTGGATACAAGATTGTGATATCACAGTTTCCAGCTAATGCAAAAGCAAGTGCTGCATTGGAACCGCTCACTGTTTTAGAACTGTCTTGCAAAATTTGGCATAAATATGCTGCTTTGTGCAAGGCAGGTATACGTTTCACACATCGGGAAAATATTTGCTCAACACTTTAACAAATGGCACATAACCAAAGTGCTGTAAGTACCAGTGTGACATTTGATATTTGTATTTGCCATTTATATTGTATGATTTTTCATTGCACATAAATAGGACGTTTCTTACTGAGATAGATATATGTGTGTGTGAGTAATTTGTATGCCTCATTTAGTGAATTTCAGATCTGTTCTGGTTGCTAGTTTTCCAGTGTAATTATACTAATTGTAACATTTTTTTATTATGTTATTCTGTATTTTATTAAAAAAAAAAATATTCATAATTTCAACTTGCTTAATTTGAAAACCTAGTTAGCTGCCTACATAGGCAGTATTTTAAGACATCTGTGGTGCATTCTTGTTGCGAATTTTGTTCCAAAAAGTTGACAACTTAATTATGCTGCATGCCTTATAAGAAAACTTGATTTTGATCTATTTTAAGGCAGCATCACATTGTACCCGGAGAAGATAATTCCATAATGCATTGCAACAATCTGTGAAAAAAATAGTATTGGAAAAGTAAAGCAGATTGTGAATACACTTTTTTTAAGCAATACACAAATTTTCAATACACAAATGTCTTATTATTATTATTTATTATTATTACAAATGTTCAAAACAGTTGTATATGTATATATATATATATATATATATATATATATATATATATATATATATACACACAGTATAGGGCTGGGCTGTCAAACGATTAATCGCATCCAAAATAAAAGTTTGTGTTTGCATAATATATGTGTTATATATATATATATATATATATATATATATATATATATATATATAGTTTTTACACAGTATATATTATATATAAAATAATTATACACAGTGCACATATATTATGTATAAACTTTTATTTTGGATGCGATTAATCGCAATTAATCGTTTGAGATGTAAATATATATATATATATATATATATATATATACATGCTTTTCTATTTTTTTTTTTTTTGGAAACCATGACACTTTTTTCTAAGATTATTTGATGAATAAAAAGTTCAAAAGAACAGCACTGATTTGACATATTTTACAAATAATATTTCAAAAGTTTAGCCATTTAAATATCTTAACTATTACCTTTGAGCATTTTAATGCATCTCTGCTGAATAAAAGGATTAATTTCTTTAAAAAAAATAATGAATAAAATACTAAACCCCAAAGTATTGAAAAATAGTGTATATTGATAGTATCTCATTCATGAAAAAGGATTGATACAAATATTTTCAACAAATATTTATGTATTTCGATATATATTAGATTATCGTGCCATTAGCTTAGCAACACGCTAATGTCAAAATCGGTAGAAATCAGCATCAAACTTCCATTCTGTGTAGTGTGTGGAGATTCCAGAATATTCTACACTGTGTAAAAAAAAAAAAAAAGTGTTCAATTTACGGTAAAATACCGGCAGTTGTGGTTGCCAGAACTTTACCGCATAAAATACGGTAGCAAGACTTTACAGTAACAAGGTTTTACAGACTTAAATTTACATTTCATTATCTGATATAATGTTAAATTATCAACCAATTGAAGTATCAATACTGTTTTGTACTATTGTTATACACTGACAACCAACAATCACAGAAGTGATGAGAGTCACATGATATATGGAAGCTCAAAATGCAGTTCTTCCTCAAGACACGTATTATACAGTATTATTATACAGAAGCTGCAGTGTAATTTACACAAATATTAAACACATCATGGTAACAAACATGAAATTTTAAAAAGGCAATAAGCATTAATTTAACTGTCACATAAAACCCATGTGTACATAACTGATTAGAAAAAGACTAGCAAATGAAGAAACAAGTTATTTCAACAAAAAGACATCAAATGCGAAGTGTCACGCAGGGAATTGTGGGAATGTCAATTCATGTTTTTTCACCGTAAATTAAACGAGTTGTTCATTTTCACTTTAAAAACTGTAAATTTAATGTTGTTTTTTTTACAGTAAAATTACATGAAATATACCGTTTGATCTATCACAGTTATTTACCGTCTTTTACCGTTAAAATCACGTTAATTTTTTACAGAAGTATCAGAAATGTTCATACAAATACCTTTGCTAACACATTATTTGGTCCTCAGCTCTACAGCTCTGTTGAGTTTGGCCGTCGATGGCAGCTTGTTCACGAGCGGGTGGCGCCCAATCGATTCTACTGGTAAGCTCTCTGTGTGACTCCTTCTGCTGCATGTGGAACATCAATCATTTGAACTCCTGCATTCTGTGGCTGATGGAAGAATAAACCAAAGAACACGGATTGTTGTTCAACCCTGATGTGATCTTCCCCACTGTGTTCCATCTCAAGGTTTACGTCCAAACTTTAGAAGTTCTGAATGTTGTCATTCGACCTCGTTACTCAGTCAGATTCTGCATTTGCAATGTTGCAAATGATTTAGTCATTAAGAAAGCTTATTCAACTTGATCAGGGTGGCTAATAGATGTCTAGACTGTGGTGATTAAAGACACCGGTTGAGAAATAAATTCTAAATGTGATTCGATTTTGTGTTTATCTCTGGTCTCAAGTGGACAAGCTGGAATGAACTGAAAATGGGGCATGGATCAATTGTTTATTTTTTGTTATTTTAGACAGGTTTATTTAATAACATAAATATAATCTCCACTAAATCTTGAGTACAGGGACAGAAAAGTGTCTAGAAGTGAAAAATACATAGATAAATACATTAAATTAAATAATGTACAAAGGAATGCGATTCCAAAATAAAGTCATATCAAATATTTTCACAGGATCTGGCGTTCACTTTGATGAGTGAATAAATGAACCAATTTTCATGTATTGAATTAATCTTGCAGAGTTGACAATATAAATATATTTCCATATCACGCATGTATTAAACGTCGTAGACATTTTTTTTCTACTTTTGCTAACTACTGATAAATTGAGACCAAAAAGACATAATATTTGTGTGTGTGGGACAAATTTGTACCCAGAAGTGACCAAAATCTCCAAAAACCTATCTTTAGGGACATTTACCTCATTTGTGGTATAAAAATAAAGTAATTAAAGGGTTTTTTTAAAATGTAAAAAATTCAGTAAGGTTTTTAAGTAAGGGGAGATAATATACAGTTTGTACAGTATAAAAAACATAACATCTATGGAATGGCCCCATTTAGAACTTGTGTGTGTGTGTGTGTGTGTGTTTGCATAAAAAAATTAGTTTGTATAAAAAGTTCAATTTTTAAAAACATGAATTAAATGCTAAATTTTTATAAGAAAAAAAATGTGTCAAATGGGCAAAAAAAACCATAAATCATTCATTTTTATATGTCTGTGTGTGTATATGCATACAAATGTGTCAAATGGGTAGATTCAGTTAAAAAAACATATATAAATCCTTCATTTTTTATAACAAAATGTGTGTGCGTGTGTGCATAAAAATGTGTCAAATGAGTAAATTTAATAAAAAAAACATACATAAATCCTTCATTTTTATAACAAAATGAGTGATTGTGTGTGTGTGTGTGTGTGTGTGTATGAGTGTGTGTGCATGTATGCTTAAACATGTCAAATGGGTAAATAAAATAAAATAAAACATACATAAATCCTTAATTTTTATAACAAAATGTGCGCGCGTGTATGCATAAAAATGTGTCAAATGGGTAAATTCAATTAAAAAAAAACATACATAAATCCTTCATTTTTTTATAAAAAAATTTTATGTGTATGCTTAAATGTGTCAAATTAGTAAATAAATAAAAAAACATACATAAATCCTTCATTTTTATAACAAAATGTGTGTGTTTGTGTGTGTGTGTGCGCATAAAAATGTGTCAAATGGGTAAATTCAATTTAAAAAAGTATTGATTTTTTTCATATCAAATCAATCACTTATTGATACATTGATTTGTTTTTACTGATTACTGTCTTTTACCTGCCATGTGGCATCCAAATTCAGATCTAGTCATTAAACAGCAGGGTTTTGTTTTTTGAGGACATTTCTTGTGTCGAATTTTTGCATAAGCACAGTCAAAGTGGAACAGAGCGAAGACATCAGAGAGTCAGCCTGCAGTACCGTTATTTTTAGTCCGGTAATGATCTACCCTCACACAAGTTCCCCTCAATGAACTCTCACATATAGAGTCTTATTATCTGAAGTGAGATGAGATACATAACCCTACAAATGGGTAGCTATTGACTATGTGAAATTAGATCGTCCCTTTTGATGAGAGACACCACCGTGGTCACAGCCAGAATATGAGATGATTGAAGGAATGGAGCTTTGAATGGATGAAATGGACTTTTGTATTTGTCAGCGCTTCAAAAGGAACTTAGATCTGATGCGGCTTAATGCCCGCATAGATTTAGAGTCTTGGTGGAATTGAACAGGTCAGGAACTCCTTTACGTTCACCTTCACTATTGATCTCAAATCGAAGCCTTTCCTGGCAGTTCCTTGTAGTAGATATTTGAAAATGAGCCATTCTATTGAGTACGCAAGGTTGTAAGGTAAACGAATTTAACTGAAGGTACCTGAACAACCTTGGACGAGAATCACATAAGACACAATTCTAAATAAACACTATATTAAGCCTGAATTAAATATAAAGAGAGCGTGTTTGCATTGAAAAGAACGGCAATGTATTTAAAAACAGCATGATGCAATGCTATATCTGTGCCTTTTTAGGGGACAGCATTTGGTTGTGGAAGTAAACATCCCATTCATTTTCTCCGTAGGGGGACTGATTTTGAAGGATAACTCCTAAACCTTTAAAAACAGACCTACTGTGAGCTGAGGTTGGGAAACAATGCTGTAAGCTTTTTTTTTTTTTTTTTTTAAATAAACATGCTCAACAGCAGAATTCCTGCTGAAAACTACATTAACCATGATTCTGCAGAGAGATCTCCACCAATTATAGAATTATGACAAATAAATTGCACCAAAAGAACCATTTAGCACCGATCCACTCTTATGAAGCACTGCGAATGACAGAGAGTCAGTTTCACTTTGGTCTCAAAATACTTCATATTTGTATGCATAATATTGATTTTTTTTTTTTTAATTCAGTGCTACATGGGATTATAGTTATTTCCCTCATGAAAGTGAAGTACACAGTCTTGTGCATTTTGCCTTTATTGTCCCATTTTCCAATATTTTTTTTTGCTGTTGTGATTCACCTCGTAGGTGTTTTTTTGGTTCATTGCTTGTAGCTCTTTTAAAAGACATTTTCAAAATTCCTATGGGAAATTTTAATGTAGCCCCTAAACAAAAAACAATACATTCGGAACCAAGGTTGATAAAAAATGGGCGGGCACTGAAGGAACATTCCATTCTGATTAGTCAATCGCACCATCTAGCAAACTGAAATGCATTTTTTAGTAAAGGCAGCTTAACTTAGTGATGGATTGTGTTCAGAGGAGTTCAGTTTGTTGTATTAGTAGGAAACCTGTAGTATTCTCGAATTACCATGCTTTCCACCCTCACATCCCCCTGAGACTAGAGATTTATGTATTTTTTGTCTGGAAAAAATCAGTCGGAGGATTTTTTCGCCATAGGCTATATAAGGGGCTGTCCTGCATGTTCTCAACCCGCCCATAGAGGGTGGGATCTCACTCACAGACAGTACACATAGTGTCAGCCATCTTTTTTTGGAAGCTAAGCTAGCAGGCTCTTGTTTTGTGGAGAAAGCTCAGAAAAAAAAGTACAAAAGCTGTCACTGGGGGTGTACCTTTTCAAAAGGTACACTTTTGTACCTTAATGGTACATATTAGCACTTAAAATGTACATATTAGCACCTAGAATGTATATATTAACACCTAAAATGTGCATATTAACGCCTAAAATGTACATATTAGCACATCAAATGTACATATTAGGACCTAAAATGGACATATTAACACCTAAAATGGACATATTAGCATCTAAAATGTACATATTAGGACCTAAATGGACATATTAACACCTGAAATGGACATATTACGACCTAAAATGGACATATTAACACAAAATGTACACATTAACACCTAAAATGTACATATTAGCACCTAAAATGGACACATTAACACCTAAAATGGACATATTAGCATCTAAAATGTACATATTAGGACCTAAAATGTACATATTAGCACATAAAATGTACATATTAGCACCTACAATGTACATATTAGCACCTAAAATGTACATCTAAGGACCTAAAATGGACAAAAGTTAACCTTTTGAAAAGGTATGTGACAGCTTTCGCACTTTTTTTCTGAAAGTGTAGTAGGGGTTACCATCCTCTTTTTCCCAGACATGTCCGGGATTCAGCTTTTCTTTTTTTCTTTTTTCGGGCAGACTCATCACGGAGACTCACTAGTAGTCTAGACGTGTTGTTTAACTACTGCGCTCTGTTACTGGTAGGCGTGGCCTAGGGCAGCGAAGCAAGTGCATTCTGGGAGTTGTTGTCTTTCATCCACATAAGCCAAAAATACATTTTCTGGCTTTTCTCAGACTAGAAAGCTCCAAATTCAAACATCATTTCACATTTCTTCTACATAAATGACCCATTTTATACACATTCATCTTCCAAGAGGTGAAGTATCCCTTTAAGCTCCAATCAATATTTCATATCTGTGCATCTATCCATCCGAGTAGCTGCACAATAAATGGGATCTGTACAGACCGCTCACATTATTTATAATTGTTGCATATAAACCCATTCAGGGTGAACCTTCACTCTGCATCTTAATAGATTGCCGATCAAACTTGAGCCGAAATTATGTAAGCAAACGCAATATAACTTTTTCTGCTCTCGTCTTTAAAATATTAAGGGTGATCCCAGTACATGCCAAGGGATGCTATATTGGTGAAAGCGTCAATACTTCCAATAAGTGTCATGATAAAGTCTTGAGCTAGTCTGCTTCCACCTTTGTACCTTTCTCACTGGAGCAGTTTTCTCTGATTTTTCAGTCTCGAATAAATATTTCATGCAACAATGATTTTTTTTTTCAACACTAAAAAGAGCGCGAGAGAGATGTGCGCTGCCTGTGGGTGTTCTTGGGAAGCAAATGAGAAGGGCTTTCTTTTAATGATGTCGGGATATGCCTCTCGCTTCTGTCAGAGAGCGCACAGAAAGATGGAGATGGAAATGGGAGCTTAACAGGACAGGGTGTTATTATGGTACTTGCACTTTAAACCCATATTACTCCTTTGGGTGGCAAACACAGATCTGTTAGCCAGCACAAAAAAAATAAAATAAATAAATAAATAAAATTACTCAACTGCCCTTATTTTGACCTTATTTTGTTATTAAATGAAAACATAAAGGATTTGGGGTTTTTTTCAAAGCCCATTTTTTAAAAACTGTTTTTTATTTCCTTTGGGCTCTCTAGGTCTAAACTGGGCCTTGATAAAGAGCCGGGCCTGATTCACCTTGAGACCACCATCTCAGAAACACGTAAGTCGGATGTGCTTTGATTATATTTCAAGAAGCTATAATTCAAACCCGGCACAAGGCAACACTTAGAGGGTTCAAAATAGGCTACGCGTCAAAATGCAAAATGGACATTTCTTCACCAGCAAATCGATCTGTCCGTATCTGTCATCCGTAATAAACATGCTGCTCAAATTGAGTTTGTCTTTTGTCTGCTGAACCTCTATTCCTGTCGATAGACTGACAGAACGAGTAGTTACGTTTGTCAGTTTTACTGGATATGGTCCCTTAAAATACAGTCAGTCAAGTTGGGTGAGGTTTTTAGATGGTGAGGTTAGATGGCTCTTTTCCCGCCAGCAAGGAAAAAAAAAAATTGCCAGCCACTGCTGCATTTTTAACCATTTTCACAAAGTTGTCATGGCACAGCGAATCATTTGTTTTAAATGTCTGAACATGCAATATTTTAAGAGAAAGAGAAGCCTCTGCTTTTAAACAAAATAACATCCTCTCATATAGTGTCCTATCACCTGGTTTATGGCTATCGCTACGCTATCTCACGACCAATTCGTACGAATTCGTACGAGTGATTCAAAAGTGGCTAATTCGTACTAATTCATACGACCTCACTCGTAAGAATTCGTACGATTTGTCTAAACCCACGTGACGGTTATGTTTAGGGGCGGGGTCAGGGGTAGGTCATTCGTGCGAATTCATACGAATTGGCTAATTCATAAAATATGTACGATTTAGCAAAATCGTACTAATTCGTACGAGTGAGGTCGTACGAATTGTTACGAATTAGCCACCTCGTAAAATTTGTACGATTTCCCGTGAGATCGGGTTGGTATACCTTCATCTCTTTCTGCCATTTGTCCTGTTGCAGAGGCCCTGTATGTCACATGTAAACTTCAGAACTGCACAGATGCCAACAAGGGCAAACCTTTTCCTGGATACATTGACCCCAACTCCCTGGTGGTCCAAGATGAGTATGTGTTTGTCCAGGTGAGTAATGTATAGAGGGGACTACTGTTATCATAACATTTTTTTTTTTTTTTTGTCAAATCAACTTAAATAATTTATTTAGTCGAGATATCTTATCATTTTGAGTTTCTGATGATTAATTCAATCTCATTCATTGTATTAACACACTTTTTCCAATTCAATCAACTTAAAATTTTGAGGCAACCAGGTTACTTACTTTTGTTAAACCAACAATACATTTTTTTTTACAGTGGTACTAGATAATATAATGAAGTTGAATGCATGCTGTTTGCATGCATAATGTATGGAAGCTTGTTTACTCCACAGAATAAAAAAATAAAAAATAAAATAGGTGGCATTTTATCTCACAATTCTGACTTTTTTCCCGCAATTGCAAGTGTATTCTACGCTATCTCAAGACCAATTCGTACGAGTGATTCAAAAGTAGCTAATTTGTACTAATTCATACGAACTCACTCGTACGAATTTGTACGATTTGTCTAAACCCACGTGACGGTTATGTTTAGGGGCGGGGTCAGGGGTAGGTCAATCGTACGAATTCATACGAATTGGATAATTCGTAAAATATGTACGATTTAGCAAAATCGTACTAATTCGTAAGAGTGAGGTCGTACGAATTGTTACGAATTAGCCACCTCGTAAAATTCGTACGAATTCCCATGAGATCGGTTTGGCATATCTCAGAATTCAGATTTTTTTTAACTAGTAGTATACTTCCAATTCTGAGAACAAGTCAGAATTGCTAGTTAAATACATTGTAAAATATTAAATACCCTATGACAACATGTTTTTACATTGCTTTATCTCATCAAAATAAGTCAACCATTTTTTTAAGTTATACAAGATTCAACTAATTTGAGTCAGTTTAAAGAATTTTAAGTTGCAATGACTTAAACATCCAAGTTAATTGCACAAAAATTTAAAACAGCAACTTTTTTTTACAGTGTATTCCCAATTGAAAGAAAAACGTGAGAAATAAAGTCAGAATTTTGAGATATAAATTAGTTAATTGAAAATTTTTCTAGCAATTGCAAGTTATAAAGTCTGAATTGTGAGATATAAACTCGCAATTGAGAGATAAAAAGTCAGAATTGAGTCACAAAAAGACGCAATTATCTTTATTCCGTGACAGATCATGTTCATATTAACATTCAACATATTGCATTGATATTTATATATCAATATTTGTGCATTTCCCACAGTTCAATTACACTTATTCAATTATTCAACAATGTTTACCTACATCCTCACCTTTTAATTGAAGCATAAATGTGATATTTTCAACATCCGACGTTTTAGGGTACCCTTTAACGTCAGTTAGATGACAATCCTAGGGCATCATCTAACTGACGTTTTACCTTGAATTATTCAGATGACGCTGCTAGGTTTAGGTCTGGGGTAGGGTTAGGATTAGATAGCGTCATCTAACCGACATTAAAGGGTACCCTAAAACATCGGATGTTGACGTATGGTCAAAAGCGTCAGTTAGATGACGTCTTGGGATGAGAACGGGCTGGTTTGCACTGTTTTTTTTTTTTCTTTGGTGCTTGATTGACGGCCCTTCGCTGCCATCTGGATGAATCCAATGTTGATGCATAAAATTTTAGCTACCTTTAAATATTGCTGTTTTAGGCACTTAATCCCAATAGCACTTAATCGTAATACTAGGTGTAAACATTGTTTATGGTCATTGCGGGACATTGAAGCAAAAATAGAAACTAATCCTCCAAAAACAAAAAACAATGTCATGCAGTTGGCACAGTTTCAACTCATCTAATCATGTAATTAGATCAAATCTTCTTGATTGAACTGTGGCAAACATATCGCCGATAGCCAGCCCTAATATGTGACCACTCGAAACGTTACTTCTTTCTAACCTGTCTTTGTCCTGTCTGTTTGTGATCCCGCCATTACCCAAGGTGTCGACCGGTGGTCGGCCAATCTACTATGTGTCATCCAGGCGAGATGTGTTTACACCCATGAAGCTTCCCAAATACACCCTTCCAAAGGTAGGGTAGCTCATTCACACTTGCTCGACACGAAGTCGGAATCTGCCACACTGTGACAGAGTAAACAAACATTGCTATTTCAGACCCTGATCATCATGTCCCTCGATGTTAGCCTTTGAAACTTCAAACCTTTACAAAATTTGATTTTTTTTTTTTTTTCCCCTAGCATCTGGCAGGCTTTTACTTCTGAGCGAGTGAATTCAGGGACGCAGATGCTACCTCGGTCCCTCGCCTCTCAGGATGTTGTGTTATTATTCAAAGCTTAAAATCTGCTGCACTCACATGACAATTAAACATGTTTTATTCAATCAAGCTCTCGGCGCTCCTTAAAGCACACACCCAGCAACCCTTGCGCGGTCTGGGGTAGATGAATTTCGCAAACTGCCAGCATGTGGTTTTGTTGCATTTGCCCAACTGACAAGCTCAATTTAAGGCTAATAAGAATATTTGCCGTTCGCGGGAGCTTTGAGCAAAACAAGGCAGGTGAGAGTTGGGTCTGATACTGATTATTAATCGGATTCAGCTCAGTGGGGTGAAACCACCAATGCACTCCAGCTGTCCCCTGCCATCCCGGCAATAACATTCATAGTCAATCTAACTTGATTAGAGGCAAAAATCACATTAAAGGTTAAAGTCATTCTCCTTTGATGAATGTAAATAAGAAAGGTAAAGGTGTTTTGATGTTTTGAGCATTAAAATGAACTTTGAAGGACTACGTTTCCTTTCTGAAGATGAAAAAGGCAGAGCTGCTCTGAGAGTTGCTCAGTCTTCATTGGGAAACATAGAGATATCAGCAATTCTGACACAGCTAAAATATCGAGAAAAAAAAAAGATTTAAAGAGAGATGACTGACTGATTTGGTGCACAACTGATTCTGAGCGTCAATGATAACAACAAAAGCGCTCAAGAAATCCACACCTACACACTAAATCACAAGAGTATGGATAGCCAAACAGGCCATATTTCGCTATTAACCAAATGCTTGGTTGGTCCAGAAAATGGTCGGCATTTTAGACGGAATGACACCGCAAAATGTGATGTTCTGTAGTACAAGCGTGAATAACGGTGTTTTCACCACAGAACCTGTAGTAATATCTGCAAGCCAAGAATACGCAAAATCCACGGAAATCCACAAATGCACGCGTGATCGCGAATTCATAAAAGTAGTGGTGCAGATTTGTTGAGACAAATCTTGTGCGATGTCCTAAACTGCCTGGATAAGCACATAATCACAAAATTGTCATTTGTTTTTTTTTTACCAATATTGTGCAGCCCCAATCCTCGCTATGTGTTTCGCTATGTGTCGCTATGCATCAGTAAGTCCTCCTTTGGTATGAGGATAAATTTAATTTGAAGAACAAAGGTACAATGACTGTCTGTTTTTATCTCTTGAAAGTAACTGTATTCCAAATACTCATAATTTAAAGTCTATTTGCTAATGGCATCTAAGTCGGTCCGCTCTGGTCACCAATGTTAGGTGGGTGGGGAGGTGTTGGTGGTGGGATGGACCCCTATTTATAAGCTATTGCTTCTTGGGGATCCATTTTCACAATAGCATATATCTGTTTTCCTGAGCAGTTGTTGGGAAAGTTACATTGAACTATGGCGTGCTATAGTAGTAGTTGCAATTGTAATGTGTGATGTACTGCACAATTTATACTGCTTCTGTCTATACTATTCATACCCCAACAACTGCTTTTGTTGAAGTAAAATGTACTGAATTATTGTGAAATAAAGAAAGAAAGAAAGATGCAAATATCGGTATCGGACATAACAGCAATATTAATATCGGTTATCGGTATCGGCAACAATTTTCACATCGGTGCATCACTATAGTTCGTAAAAAGTGAACACAGATTCAAAAGCAAATTCAATACCCAGCATATTGATAGCATAATACAGGTGTTGTCGCAAGTTTATATACCGTTGTGAAAAATTCCTCACCGTGACGTCCATAGTTCAGTTAAAAAGTATGTCTCAGAAACATGTCAATGTTGTGATATGTAATTAATTTATAATACTTAATAATTTTTCATAGTTGAATGAGGTAATTAATGAGGCTAATCTCATTCAGTAATTATTGATTACCATAATTTGTTACTATTAAGAAGATGAAGCTAGTACTTCAATTAGTTACATTGTTATTTTTTTTTTTATTTTGTTTGGGAAAAATTTTATTCACAAGCAAAAATTCTCTAAATCGCAGCCTACTTTTCCACATTTCTTAATCGAAATTGATACATTTCTGAAATTTCTAAGATTGATTAAAAACAAGAAAAGTGACAGATTCTTGAAATATTATGATGATATTTTCAATACCACTGATGCATAAGGTTTCCTCTGTGTATGTCTTTTATTTATTTATTATTATTTGTTTATATATATATGTGAAGCTTTATATATACTTGATATAACATGTCGGAGTTCTATGTGTTCTGTGCTTTATACATGCTTGTTAGTTGATACATATTCAATAAAAAATAAAAAAAAAATAATTATTGATTACCTAAAAAGGATCTTAGTCATAAATTTGATGTTGCTTACTGATTAGTTAAGCTTGTTTTCATATTGGTTTATAGTAGTAGCTGAAGTGTCTATGTAGTCATCATTACTTCCTGACCATTATTCTAAAGTGTTAGCCAAATTAGTATACAAAACTGAAGTGATGCAGCTACACTGCGCCGAATGTGATCCACAACCTTCGTCTATTAAAAACGTTCCATGTCAGATTTATTAACTTTTTTTATTGATATCTATTTCAATATTTGAATTGCAGCAAAGGCCAAACATTCTTTCGTCCAATAAACCACTGATATCTGTCTTACGAAACGTCTTTTCCTTCTCCCCCCAGGATCTGCATGTGATCAGTACAGATGAGAACCGGGTCGTGGCGGCGGTTCAAGAGTGGAACCAGAATGACACTTACAACCTGTATGTGTCAGAGTCCGGAGGCATTTACTACACACTGGCTTTGGAGAACGTCATGAGCAGTATGGGTCCAGAGGGAAATGTCATGATAGATCTATACGAGGTACCTCTCTAAAACAGAACGGTGTTATTTTGGTTGGTTTCCACACTGCACAGATGTATGCTGATTCAATATTACTGATTCGTGTTCAAATTTCCCTGGATATAAAAAGCACGAGTAAATTGGATACAGTAATTAATGCTAATTGATTTGTAGTGCTAATTGATTTAATAGCAGCGCTAATTAATTTAGGCATTGACATAATTATCTCTGAATTATCTAAACGAGGAGCAGTTAGGAACCTTGAAATAAAGCAGTATGCTGTCTATATGGATCTAAACGTGATCATTTCATAACATATGTTGTACCACATTAAAGTGCCATATTAAACTCTTGTTAAAGTTAATCAAAGAACAAATGAAACCGAAAATTACTGGCTGCTCTTGATCAGAAAAACTTAATTACAGAAAAACTTTTATTCTAATTGATTGACAGTTACTAATATGCATATGCATTTATGTTCCAGTTTATATATATATATATATATATATATATATATATATATATATATATATATATATATATATAATTTTTATTGATTAACAGAACTAATATGCATATGTGTTTATGTTCCAGCTTCTATATATATACAGTATATATATATATATATATATATATATATATATTTTTTTTTTTTTTTTTTTTTTTTTTTTTTTTGATTGATTGATAGTACTAATATGCATATTATGTTCCAGCTTCTATATATATATATATATATATATATGTAAAACACATTTCTAAGCATCCAATTTTACTCCAAATTCAAACCACATTTGGGTTTGGCTTTATTTTTTTTGTAACTATTCATTAAGTTTTTGTTCTGTTCAGACTACAAACAACTAAATGGATTTGGCAACAGATATTTTCTAAATCTAAATCTACTCTTGCTTGACTTTCTTTTTTTTTTTTTTTTTCAAACTCTGCTCAGTGTCTTTGCAAATACTTATATTTTACATGATGTCTTGCAGTTTGAAAGCATATAGGGCTTTGGAGTGTTCAAGTTCACAATTTTTTATAGTTCTGCAATTGGGTCTGATAGGATTGAAGCCAGTGATTAGGGTTTGGGTGAAGACCGCTCGTCTCTTTGAAGAATACGCCATCAGGTCTCTGCACCTCTAGATGGAACGGCGCATTGCAACAGAGGCCAGCTGGTGTCAAACTATCTCCTGATCAAATAATTAAACTGTTGATGATAGCAACCTCCATAAAATCACATTTGGCCCTTGGATAGGCTGAAGAGTCCGGTGACTTGATTGAGGTCGCCACCTCCATGTAACATATGCTAAAATCTCAGCCGTCGACGAGATTGAAATATTCGTCAATTATTGAATAGAGAGTGTCCTCTGAGTCCCATCCCGGGCTGCCTCTTCTCCTTTCTAGTGCTTCCTGGCCCTGAAGAGATGTCACTTCTCTTTAGGATGGACATGGATTACCTTCTCATTCACTTACATACACTCATTCCACTCCAGTTGATATATTTTACAAGGAACAGCGCTTTTTAGAAGTTCTCTTGGCTGGGTTTAGTACCCCGCAGGGACACTAAGTAATAAAAGCATCATGGGCTTCTTTACCTATAGGTGGAACTATTGAAATGGTGTAAATTTACGGATATGATTATTAGTGGTGCATCTCTTCCTCATTATCTTTCTTGTTCCCATCCCTAGGTGGCAGGGATAAAAGGCATGTTCCTGGCCAACAAGAAGATAAATAATGAGGTGAAGACACATATAACCTATAATAAAGGCCGAGACTGGAGGCTCCTGCAGGCTCCTTCAGCTGATCTCAGAGGGAACCGCATCCATTGCATACTGGTGAGTGGAAGTGTTGGAAAACAGAAAGCAAGAGATTTGTCCACATTTTACACTCATAGATGAGCTTTATGAGGTCATTGCTCTTTCCAACACCCAACGTATCAGATTTTATCTTTTGAAACATTAAACAAGCCTGGGTGTTTCTTCAACTGCTGGCACTTTGGGTTAATACTAATTAAAACAGATTTTTTTTTTTCTTTTGTTTTATAAATATCACATTAAATCTTGATTTTTTTTCTTTATCACATCACCTTCATTATTTATATATCTTTTCAAATGCTGCTTGTTTCATTGCCTCTTTGTTCTAGACCCAGACTTTCAATCTTAAATTGTGAAAATCAATCATAAAAGATTCATCATTTGTATAACTATGATGATATGAACAAGGAGTTTAAAAATAAACCCATTTCAATAGTTATGTGAAAATCATTTATTAGACAAATTCAAATCGTTTCACATCACATCTAAGAATTCTGGCCCTAATTATTTTATTTTTATTTTTTGGATTATTGTATTTTGTAACCAATGACAGTGTCAATGAAGGAGCATACTTGAAATATGAGATGTGGGGGGAAAGCAGACAAATCAAGATAAATAGCACTTGTGAACAGAATATTTTATTGTGTGTCATCTCCAATTAAGCTCCAGTTTTGTCAAATTATGTAAAAGGTGTGGAAATGTTGTTTAATTGTATTGATAAAATGTTAGCCTCTGAAAGAGGCTCACACATTTTGTTCCCAGAGAGCAACCCAAACATTTAGCAAACGCAGAGGAGTTTTATTGACCGTATAATGTTTTACAGTGTAGTAAGAGTTTGAAAAATGTGTCCTAAAATAATTGATTTTCTAAATGTCTATACAGAGCCAAAAGTTTTGTTGAAGAAATACTCAGCTAGATGTGGTCATAATTGATCATATTTTGCACAATATTTTCATCACATTAAATAAGTTAGCAATATGCAAACAGAATGTTTATTCCTGTGGATATGGGCATTTGGAATAGGTCTACGTAATGAGTGCTGCTTGTCATTGCAAATGACAATACATATTTCATTCCGTGGTGATGTTATCCATCCCCTGTGAATGCCATCCACAACCCCCCCCCCCCCCCCCCCAAAAAATGCAAACAAAAATAATTACCCTTTGATAAACTCAACTAATTAATGGTCCCGCTTGTGCCCATGCCTTCACCATCCATTACAGAGCTATTTGTTAGAAAATGTCAAAGTTTTAATAAACCGCTAAACAACCCTTGCAACATGTGCTTACCATTGGCATTTCCAGACTTATAATGAGAATTGTGTCACTAAAGGTTATTCCAATCAAAATTAATGTTTGGAGGGGAAAAAAGTCACAAGCCTTTGCTGTTATGGGATTTTTTTAATGGGATTTTACTCAAACCCATGGACAATGACAGTTTAGTGGAGGCCACACACTGGGGTTTTATCGATTTAGAGACCCTGTTGGATCTGAATGATTTTTTTTCTTCTATGCATCTGTATGTGTTTCTTCTAGCCGTACTGTTCCCTGCATCTTCACCTGCATGTATCAGCAAACCCGTACACATCTGGAAATATAGCCAGCAGAGAGTCGGCTCCTGGAATCATAGTGGCATCAGGTGAGTTTGTTTCAATTCGGACTTTAGAACTTAGAATTGCAAGTTTATGTCTCACAATTCTGAGAAAGTCAAAATTGCGACTTTATGGGCCCTATCATACACCGGGCGCAATGCAGCACCAAGTGTGTTTTGCTAGTTTTAGCCTGACGCAGATATCATTTTCACGTCCTACGCCACGTTGTTTAAATGCATTTGCGCCTATTTGTGCCCACATGGGCTGCTATTATTTTGAGGTAACAGAAATAGACTGCGCCATTGACCAACATAAACCTTGTCTGAAGTCAATGCCGCAATATATATATATATATATATATATATATATATATATATATATTTTGTTAATTAAAGAGGCTTTTAAAGGGAACTTGGCAACTATTCTTAACTTGTTGTGACATCCAGGCGTTCAGCCCTCATCAACCCCGACTGGAACAGCTTTTCCTCGGCTAGTGCTTCTGACGTTTGCCGCTGGCTCCGATGTCTCTAGTCTAGTGGATAAACTTGATGTATAATTTGTCTTGTGTATAAGTCTATCTGTGGTCTAAATTGAAAGTATTTGGAGGTACAGAAAAAAATCTATTCCTAGCGGGACAAAACATAAGTGTTGAGGGCGGGAGAAAGTTGAGAACGTCAGTTATAATGACTCGCGTTTAAAAAAATGGTCGGGTTTAAATCGAGGCTCAGGCTCATAATTACGTTTAATGTGTCGGGCGGGGCTCAAACACAACGTGCACAGGCTCGGGTAGGGTCGGGCTTTATTTTTTGGGCCCTATCTAAGCTCTAGTTCAGAAGCAGGCTGATGTAACCAAGAGTTTTCCTCGATGTGCTACCTGAGTCACTCGGGGGCTGACCCTCGGTCTGTTTGTCGCCAAGGGTGTTAGTCCCCTGCAATAAATAAATAAATAAATTAATTAATTAATTAATTAATACTCTGCCACAGCCAGCTCTACTGTGATGTTGAGCCTTCGCAGGAAGACGGTGCCACCCGTCCCAGCAGCCCTGAGACAGGCGACCTAGAGTGAGCTGCTCTTTCTAATTCAAATTTTATAACTCACATCTGCGATAAAGTCTAAATTGTGACTTTATATCTCAAAATTCTACATTTATTCCTCAGAATTGCTACTTTATACAATTCAGACTTTTGTATCTCACAAAACAAAGTAAAAAAAAATGTAAAAAATCTCAAAATTCTGAATATTCTGAAAATTCTGAAAAAGTGACAAAAAATGCACAATTAACTTTTTTATGTTTTACTCTCTGGCGGAAACAAGTTTCCATACTTTTAATATATCTAAAAGTTAAATCAAATTTATTACCGGTACTCAAGTCAGAGTCATATACAACCCGGTCTCATCCCAAGACGTCATCTAACTGACGTTTTGGGACATCTTTTGACCATACGTCAATATTCGCCTTTTTAGGGCCCCCTTAAACGTCGGTAGATGAGGTTATGGGATCCTAACTCTACCCCAGACCTAAACCTAACCCTAAACCTACCCCGTCACCTAACTGACGTTAAAGGTAAAGCGTCAGTTGTATGACGGCCCGGGATCGCCATCTACCGACGTTTAAGGGGGCCCTAAAAAGGCGGATATTGACGTATGGTCAAAAGATGTCCCAAGACGTCAGTTATATGACTTTTTGGGATGAGACTGTGTTGTCCCTCCCATAGCAGACATCTCCCCATATCGGAGTATGCATACTTTTAATATAGCTCTACACACCTTTCTCTTATGTCGTTTCATTGCTTTCTTCTTTTGTTTCCGATGATAGTGGTGGCTTTACCACTGTTCTAGTCTATGTAGTGAAAATAACTGTTAGTAAGTATGTTAAACCTTAGTTATAAAGCTAAGAAGCATTTCAAAGTTGAAAATACTTTTTTTTTTTTTTTTTTTTTTTTTTAAAGAAAGAAAGAAAAGATTATTAAAACTGAATTCTCAAGGAGTATTTGTGTTTTTGTTTTGGTTACAGACAGGTAGAAAAAAAAAGCTGTTTAGTTTTCAGGTCCTGGAAAACAAAATACTTTTATAAAGTGTGTAGTTCTTGTATTCTTTCTTAAATCCCTGACATGCGAAGCATATTAAAATTCCTTTCATCTTGAGCGTTCATGACACTGTTACTGTTGAATATGTTCATTTTGCGCTTGTGGAGCAGAGGCATCTGTATATGGACTATAAACAAGATTAGTGTCGTGCTAGCATAAACAAATGGAAATGCTAAGGCCTACTCTTGAGATAAGCAGCAGAGAGTCTTTAGAGTGTTCTTATTATTCTCTCTCCATCATCTTCTCCTTTCACAACCAACTAACTCTTCCACCACTCAAACTTCAAATGTTTACTTTATAAGATTGAAGGCCCTTGTCACTTTTTCATTTTACTCCTTCAGGCTTGTGTCTTCCGCGACGTTTGTCGACTATATTGGCCAACGCAGATGAAATATAAATGTATTGGCACTGTAACTATCTGGATAAGTAATCCCAGGAGGAGGCCGACTATTAGATATTAGGCTCTAAATTGACATTTAGTTGATTGATTTGATCCTATAAGCGTTGTGGGGATGGCGCAGGCTTTCCTGAGTTTTTAGCTTATTAGATATAAAGGTTTTCCAGAAGTCCTAGTTGGTTCTCAAAGCATCAGACGGCCAGACTCTTTCATTTTATTACACATGACGTATTTTCTGCTGTAAGAATCTATCTATCTGTACGTCCGTCCACCCGTCATACATTTTCAATCCTTAAAACCAATACTGTCAATATCAGTAACAAATTTGGAAAGTTAGACATTGTGGGTTTTCTCAAAAAAAAAAAAGAGAGAGAGAGAGAGAGCTTTTGGAATAAAGTATGACTTTAGCAAAAGAGCACAATCTACTTAATCTTTATATCTTCATACATAGCTTTAGTTATCAACTCATCATCTGCTTCGGTAAGCATGACTGTAATTGTTCTGCTCTTCTTTCCATAGGTTCAATCGGCGCGGAGTTAACGAGCAGCAACGTTAGCATGTTCATCACACCCGACGCTGGAAACACGTGGCGGCAGGTGACTCTGACCGTGGGCCATTTAATTTTAGCACTGATGCATATCTTTGAGCGGATAAATCTGTGTGGCGCGTTTCAGAGCCGATAATCAAATGACACCTTCAGAGAAAACTAAATTCAATGACATATATGATGCCTGTGGGTGCATGTTTGATGGTGCGATTTAAATTTATGGGGCCAGCTGTCTAATTAAAAATGGAGAGCTCAAATAATTAAGAGAAAATTGATGTGGCAAAAAAAGTTAAAGCATGCTGGGTAGGGCATGGGTTTGATGTCATATATCTTGTCAGTAAGCATTACAATCACTGGGATTTGAGAAATAGCATCATTTCAAGGACAGCAGACCTGTGGTTGCCAGCTTTCATGTAATCAAATTGAAAGCCCTCCCAAGAAGAGTGAAGGAGATTAAATATTGCCGTAGCTCGGCCAATCTGACATTATGAATGAAAATAACACGGGGACATATTTAATCATGCCCTGAGACGCATACCTCTGTGCAGAAGTGTTTTGTTTGTTTGTTTAAATTTAGCGGTTCGCTAAACCAGCAAACTCGCAATGATTTACGAAATATGCAGACTCGGTTATAAACAATCCAGTGTGGCTAGCTTGGTTGATCTAACTTTTCCAGTGAGTTCACTGGCAAATGAAAACAAAGTAAACCCCACACAGCCTTGTGATTAGCCTGTGAAGTACTTAAGCCAATCAGATGCTGTTTTTCTCCACTTAAAGAGACTAGCGCATGCTAAATGCTTTAAGCCCCGAGGCCTAAACTCAACGGGTATCCATATCAGCAAGAATTCACTGCACATACAGGGAAGTTATCGCTGCTCTAGGGCACACAAATGGAAATTACTAATGAGGGCTTCAGTTTTCAGTTCAACTCTGCAGTAGGTCACCCTCGCATCTGGGAGGATTTTTTGCTCTGTAAGGCAATTACTTGTTTTGCACATGTTTGCAACTACTAGCAATTCTGTAATGGTGACTGGAGGAGATCATTTGTTTTAGGCATTTTTTGGAGCTCTGTATTTTTTTAAAAATTATATTTTTAGTCTGTTATAACGTATATATACAGCAACAAGAAGATTATCACAACGGAATCAAACAGAATAGATCTATATTTTGCATTATGAGGGTGCACTACAAGAGGGTGAAGTTTTAGATGATCAATTAACAGTTCATGTAATTTTATCGAATAGAATAGAATGCTTTAAATGAGGAAAAACAAATTAATACCATACAACATAATCAGATTGCCAATACCCATTAATGAATGAATCAATCAATCAATGAATGAATCAATAAATCAATGAATAAATGAATGAATCAATCAATCAATCAATCAATCAATCAAATCAAATCGGAACATGTTATTAAAGAAGTAGTTTACTTTAAAAAAAAAAAAAAATTCTGATAATTGACTCAACACCATGTCACCCAAGATGTCCATGTCTTTCTTTCTTCAGTTGAAAAGAAATTAAGTTTTTTGATGAAAACATTCCAGCATTTTCTCAATATAATGGTCTTCATTGGGAACCAAACGGTTCAAGGTCCAAATGAGAGTTTCAGTGCAGCTTCAAAGGGCTTTAAACAACACCAGACGATGAATAAGGGTCTTATCTAGGACCCTTCGAGTCATGACTCGAAAAAAGATTTGTTCATTTTGATGAACGAGTTTGAACAGGAGAGTCACGAACGCTCATCACAGAACAGAGCAAGGCGAGCATTTGTGCTTATAAAACTTAAACTTTTTTATTTATTTTTAAAATGACTGATCGTTTCGCTTGATAAGACCCTTATTCATCGCCTGGTGTCGTTTAAAGCCCTTTGAAGCTGCACTGAAACTCTCATTTGGACCTTGAACCGTTTGGTTCCCAATGAAGTCCATTATATGGAGAAAATCCTGGAATGTTTTCATCAAAAACCTTAATTTCTTTTCGACTGAAGAAAGAAAGTCGTGGACATCTTGGATGGGGATGAGTAAATTATCCGCAAAAGTTTTTTTTTTTTTTTTTTTTAAACTACAAATGTATTATAAGTGTGTGTTATAATTGTTTCATATTTTAATTAGATAAAGAAAAAAAACATGAAGAATCACCTGGAATAAATTATTTATTATTTATGAATTAATTGCCTTTTTTTCATTTTAGAAGTTTGCATGCTGCATGCTATGATAAACATGGCAAAATCTTCTCAAACCAAAGTATTACCATTAGTTTACATTGTATAGATTTTTATAATTCATGCAATCCTTCAGTATGTAATTAATATCAAAATGAACAGAACAGCTTATAAATGTATTTATTTACTTACTATTTATTTACTTTATTTATTTTCTTTGGACATATAGGGCATGAACACATTTTGTATTCCAAATGTTTAACAGTTGAACCATGTCTGTTTCAGATATTTGATGAAGAGTACAGTGTTCTGTATCTGGACCAAGGAGGAGCTTTAGTAGCTATTCGACACACCCCTCTTCCCATCAGGCACCTCTGGTAATACCACGCCAGTATCATTATTAATATGTCATGCATATGTTCATAAAAGATGAGTCAATGCAATTATACCAAGCTGAATCACATAATCATAGGAAGTGTGAACATTCTCATTAAAGCCAGTAGACTGTGTAATACTTTTGTCTAGTAATCTATATTAAATGTCGGAAAGGTGCAGTAAAGTTCCGTTTGAATTATTCGCCAGCTGTGTTGCAATCTTTTCTAAACTGTATCGTAGTTTCAGGTGTGTGCTCCTGGTTTCTATGCAGGTTGAGTTTTGATGAGGGGAAAGTGTGGAACAAATACAGTTTCACTTCATCTCCCCTGTTTGTGGACGGGGTCTTAGGCGAACCAGGCGAGGAGACGCTCATTATGACGTACGTATTGTGAATATTCAAGAGTAGACAAATGTATAGTTATTTTGTATATTTAAATACACACACATGCATGTATATATTTAAGAACAAATTGCTATTTATATTTATATATAATATAAATTATGTATAAATATATATATGCAGTTTGTACATTTCATAGATATATAAATGCATATGTGTGTATTTATATATAAAAAAATAATTATGCACAGAACACAGACAAATAGTATGTAAACACAAACTTATATTTTGGATGCGATTAATCGTTGCCCAGCACTGTAATTTAATTTAATTTAATTTAATTTAATTTAATTTAATTTAATTTAATTTAATTTAATTTAATTTAATTTAATTTAATTTAATTTAATTTAATTTAATTTAATTTAATTTAATTTAATTTAATTTAATTTAATTTAATTTAATTTAATTTAATACTATATTTGTTTTAGCAATAGCAAGTGAGTTTACATCTCACAATTGTAACATTACATTATTTTACTTAAGACTTTAAATCCCTCAATTTCTACTTTATTTTCTCATATTTGTGACAAATATTTCACAGTGTGATTTTATTTCATATTTTAAACTTTCTCAAAATGACATGTTTTACTTCCACAATGTGTACATATGAAATGCTTGATGATAAAAAATAAAGCAATGATAAATCAAGTGATATTTTTTAGACCTTCCAATAACAAATCACCAATTTGAAAAGAGAAATCATTAAAACCACCTGCCATTTCTAATTTCGCATCACAATCCTCTGAATGCAGCTCAACCTAAAATTATTATTCTTTCATGAAGTTTTTCCCTTGTAGGATATTCCTAGATACTTTCTGAGAGGTCCTAAAAGTGTCACACTGTTCTTGAGTGTCAGACTCTCTCAATGTGAGTTTCAGACTTTTTGTTGACAGTTTGACGGAGGTTTCCACTGATGTGGTTTGACTCGGATAGCATTGCTACGCGTTTCCTTTCCCGGTCCGCTCTATGGTTCTAATCATTAGAGTCTGGAAATGCCAGACATACAGTGGCTGAAGTTCTGCCTTTGTTTGCAGGATCTTCGGTCATGTCAGTCACCGCTCAGAATGGCAGCTGGTAAAGATAGACTTCAGGTCTATCTTTAACAGAAGATGCATAGAGTCTGACTATGTCTCGTGGGATTTACACGACCAGGTGAGAAATCATCCGTCATCTGGATATCCAATCTGAATATTTGGTTACATCCTTGTTTCACACATAGTTGTACAGTATATCAGGTTTACTATCTTTCTTAGACTGGTGGATTTTTTTAAGCACAAACCTTTTGTCAGAATTGCACTCACCTAAAGGATTATTATATTGAACCATATTAATACTGTTTGACCCCCTTTCGCCTTCAGAACTGCCTTAATTCGACGTGGCATTGATTCAACAAGGTGCTGAAAGCATTCTTTAGAAATGTTGGCCCATATTAATAGGATCGCATCTTGCAGTTGATGGAGATTTGTGGGATGCTCTTCCAGGGCACGAAGCTCCCGTTCCACCACATCCCAAAGATGCTCTATTGGGTTAAGATTTGGTGACTGTGAGGGCCATTTTAGTATAATGATCTCATTGTCATGTTCAACAAACCAATTTGAAATGATTCGAGCTTTGTGACATGGTGCATTATCCTGCTGGAATTAGCCATCAGAGGATGGGTACATGGTGGCCATAAAGGGATGGACATAATCAGAAACAATGCTCAGGTAGGCCGTGGCATTTAAACAATGCCCAATTGGCACTAAGGGGCCTAAAGTGTGCCAAGAAAACATCCCCACACCATTACACCACCACCACCAGCCTGCACAGTGGTAACAAGGCATGATGGATCCATGTTCTCATTCTGTTTACACCAAATTCTGACTCTACCATCTGAATGTCTCAACAGAAATCGAGACTCATCAGACCAGGCAACATTTTAACAGTCTTCAAATGTCCAATTTTGGTGATTTGCAAATTGTAGCCTCTTTTTCCTATTTGTAGTGAAGATGAGTGGTCGACGGTGGGGTCTTCTGCTGTTGTAGCCCATCCGCCTCAAGGTTGTGCATGTTGTGGCTTCACTAATGCTTTGCTGCATACCTCGGTTGTAACGAGTGGTTATTTCAGTCAAAGTTGCTCTTCTATCGGCTTGAATCAGTCGGCCCATTCTCCTCTGACCTCTAGCATCAACAAGGCATTTTCGCCCTCAGTACTGCCACATACTGGTTGTTTTTCCCTTTTCACACCATTCTTTGTAAACCCTAGAAATGGTTGTGTGTAAAAATCCCAGTAACTGAGCAGATTGTGAAATACTCAGACCGGCCCATCTGGCACTAACAACCATGCCACGCTCAAAATTGCTTAAATCACCTTTCTTTCCCATTCCGACATTCAGTTTGGAGTTCAAGAGATTGTCTTGACCAGGAACACACCCCTAAATGCATTGAAGCAACTTCCATGTGATTGGTTGATTAGATAATTGCATTAATGAGAAATTGAACAGGTGTTCCTAATAATCCTTTAGGTGAGTGTATAATTTAAAGCAAGATGACCAAATCACGCGACCTCTTCATGAATCTTCCCATCTTATTGTCATTAATGTCCTCAACTCACTTTCTATTCTGCATCTCAAGCCTTACATTTAAGGGAGCCTAAAGTTTTGATCCGATACCTTTCTGCTTTGTCATGTCTTTCCAGCGTAATAAACCCTCCGTTGAGTCCTAAAGATTTAGATTGAACTAAAGAGCGTGTCACAATGGGTTCTTGTAAACTGGTCCTGACATGCTTTCCCAGGGTTCGCTGGGAGAAGTCAGGCCAAAAGCGTCTTCTCATAGGAGAATAAAAGATGGAAGTTTATTAGTTGTTAGGACATGGCAGTAGACTGGCCTACTTTAACCTCTGAAGCCTTCTGGTGTTTTCTATTTCTGTTACAAACTTCTGTGCAAAGAAGCAGAAGTTGACAGAAGACTGAACAATGTCAAAAAACCAACTTTGGACATATACAGTAACATGCTGAGATGAGATGAAGACATTCATTGTCTGCACCGATGCAGTCGACCATCCTGTGCTGTTAGCATTGTTTGCGCATCTCTGCACTGTTTAGTTTGAGGAAAAAGAAGACGACGTGACGAGCCATGAACCGCGGATGTAAAACAAATGTTCATTCGAGTCATTTTGATGGAGAGTCCTTTTTTTTATTATTTTTTTTTTTTTAGGCTGGTCATTTTTGACTGGGAACTGGGAACTCCATAAGTGTGGCTTTGTTCCATTTTGAAAAAAAAAAAATAAAAGCATTTTAAAACAAACTCCTGGTTAAACAGTTTAATCTGCTTTCCATATTTTGTTGAATATTGACTAAATTATCCTGAAATAATGCTTTTTTCACTTACAAACTGAGGTGCATAAGCTAGGTTTTATATTTGTTTTTGGAAGAAAACAAGTTGAAAAAAAGATTGAATCTATATTTGGTGACAATATAGCATAACAAAGGATTTATTAGCTTTTTTTTATTGGCAACATCAAATGTGTAACAGGGTTTTCAAGGGTTAAATTTAACTAGCACAAATATGGAAGGTAATTAAAAATGAAAAATATATATTTTGTTCTCTATCACACAATTCGGACTTTAAAACTCGGAAACGTGAGTTTATATCTCACAATTCTAAGGAAAAAATAAGAATTGCAAAAAAACCCTCACAATTAGTTTATATCCCACAATTCTGAGGGGAAATATATATATTTTTTTTTCTCACAGATGCAAGTTTATGTCCAATAATTCAGACTTTTTTTTTCCTCAGAATTGCGAGTTTATATCTGACAATTCCGACTGTATAACTCTCACTCTCATTTGGGTGTTTATATCACAGTTTTGCAGAAGTCAGGATTGCGAAATCTTTCTCGCATTGTGAGTTTAGATCCTTCATTTCTGACTTTATTTCTCTCTGAATTTCTAGTTAAGATCTCACAATCGGGACTTTACAACCCGCAATGCCAAAGGATGTCTCTTAATTCTGAGAAAAAAAGTCAAATTTCACAAATGCACATATGTCTTTATACCATACCTCTGAAACCTTTCACAAAATGAACTGAGATATGAAAAATGGAACAATGAGTGGAATTCTTTATTTTTTTTCTCTCATCTTCTTTCCAGTCTCTCTTTTTTTCTAAATTCAGGCTTCATTGTTATGAATTATTCATGTGAGAACTAAAACAAAAACCTGAATGAGAACGCAATATGCCAGTTTTATTGTAGAAAATATGTGTGAGTATGTGTAGGCATGTCCTGTATATAAATGTACGCTATTAAAATATATGTTATTGTAGGGTGAACGCTGCCTCATGGGAGTCAAAAGAGTCTACCGAAAGCTGAAGTCCATAGCAAGGTGTGTTATGGGTAAAACCTACTCCGTCACGATGATTTCCCAGCCGTGTGACTGCACTGAGTCGGACTTTGAATGGTAAGCAAACAAATGTTTTTTTTTTCTTCTAAGATAAATACCAGCTAAATTATATTGAGCTGCTTTGCTGTCTATTGTCTAAGTCAGCTCCTTCTATGGGATCATAACTGTAATTGAACCTGACTGATTTGGAACACACTGCGCTTAATTGGGGTTAGTAAAATAATAATAATAATAGTAAAAAAATTATATTTTAATTCAACAAGGACACATTCAATTGATCAAATATGACATTAAACACATTTACAGAGATACAAAAGAGTTAAAATTCAAATAAATGATTGTTTGCTAGTTTGTTAGTTTTATTAATCAAATAACCCTGAAAACCCCTTTCCACAAAAAAAAAAAAAAAAAATCAATAATGATAATAAAATAAATGTTTATTATTTATAGTAAATCAGCATCTTAGAATGATTTCTGAAGAATATGATACTTCACTGAAGACATGTGACACCGAGGACTGGAGTATTTTAAAATGGATTAAAATAAAAAAGTTTTTAAACTGAAATTTTAAACTGTATTTTTTTTTTTTTTTTTTTTTTGTAAGCGAAGGAAGAGACTTTCAAAAACCTTTAAAAAAATATTACTGACCCAAAACTTTCAAATTTTAGAAGGATCTGAGACAAAGTAAAGTCCCTGTAGTCAATAATTGAATCCCTTAAAACTCATCTTTGATCACCAAAATGACATATTAAAAAGTTTTTTCCTTGGAAAAAAAAAGTCTTCATGCCTTAAAATATAGCTTGAATGTAACTCTACACCCTTGCCTCATTTAGTATATGTGTACCATGAATATGCAAATTAGCCCCACCTCCACTCACTCACACCAGCTCAGAGATCCACTTGTTGACCTGATTGGTTACAAGGTAGTTTGTGACACCAGAGATTTCAAACCGTGTCTTTGTTTCACTGCAGTTTTAAGGAGAAAATACTCGGCTATGGTGCCGACTCATGAATTTACACATGGTTTGTCTTAAAGCATATTAAAAATGCCACATAGACATAAACAACATTAAAAGATTGGTTTTCACCAGAGGGGGACTTTAAATTAATCATTCTGAGATCTCCATTAAGTCTCCGGAGCTATAAATGAAAAATGTAGACCGATTTAAATTTAGCATTGCAGCAGTGTTTTGCCAAGCCTCACGCAAGACAGAATAAAGGAATAGTTGTGGCTAGTCCTCATCAGATTAGTATTGCAGAAGAGAAGTGCTACAGGAAGTGGAAACTGGTCAAGCTGCGTAAAAACAGCGGTAGATGGAAATTGACGTTTCATTTTGAAAATATGTAGTCCCTCAGCGGTACTGTTCCATCTGTCACCACCACCCTTTCTTCTGTAGTATTTCACGCCTCACGCTTTGCAGCTTAAACCCTCCATTTGTATTCCTGACACTCCTCGTCGTCATGTAAATGTGGCCTCTCCCCTCATTTCCCCCTGAATTATCAAAGTTATTAATGTCGCTGTTCTGGAAAGTTCCAAATTTGCTGGCCCCTTGAGGCCACGTGGAACAAAGTGTGAAGTTGTTAATCAGGGAGTGAAACGCTGTGCGTTTACCATCACAAGCTGGCCGTAGCTGTGGAACTTGTTGTGGTAATTAGTGTAATTTGTTCTCTTGATTGGGGTGTTGAGTTTGCATTGTTGGACAAACAACTTTGGCTTTTGTTGTCTGACGGTATGGTCTAAAAATGTAGAAAATGTAGGTGTTAATTATTTTTGGATGGAAGAATTTTTCTTCTGCTGTCAAAGATTGTTATGCCGTTGAACTAAAACATATGTTCATTTTATCTCTAGATTAGTAGTTATTAGATGTTGACATGCATAACAGATGCTAGTGCTTGAACTCCTGGCAAAAAAACAAAAAACAAAAAAATGTATTCATTTGTCAAGAAAATGAATATATATATACAGTGTGTGTGTATATATATATATATATATATATATGAAGAGTTCCATTTGAAATTCTCTTCTAGAATGATGATTTTTATCCATCTTGTATATTTAAGTTCAGTTATTTCATTTAAATGATAATTAATCTTCATTGCCATGTAAGTGAAATAACTGAACTTAAATATAAAAGCTTGATAGAAATTATCATTCTAGAGGAAAATTTAAAATGGCACTTAGATTTTGCATCTGAACTCTTCATATATAATATAATATAATTAATATAATATAATGTAGGTACTAATTTAACATGTATACTAATAAAACTAATATTACATGTACTAATACAGCTAATATAACTAATATAATATAATATATGAATATATTAGGTTGTAATATAATAATATAACGTACTAATACAGCTACAGTAGTATAACGAAATTCCACATAATGATGAAACGTAATAATAGCTGGGTGATTATCATTCTGACCTCTTGTATTAAATTCAATTTTATTTCACATTATTAATGTACTATCTTTGAACATTTTTTTTTAAGTCTGTGAGTTATGAAAGACAAATGCTATGATGGCCTTCTCCAGTAATGATGACTGAGAGACCAGTGGGATTTTATCTTAGTGGTTCGAGATGGGTTTAGTGACTGAAAGGTTGTAGATTCAAGCCCTGCAATGAATTATCACAATTGAGTCCTGGTGATGCAAGCACTTGAACCTGGGATCCTTCATGTGATCTTACATTCCTAATTCTGCTTGTTGTTTGTAATAAAAGTGAGTTAAAATGACCTATTAGTAATTCGAAGTCAATGATCCTAGAGAGAATAAATGGGGAACCAATGTTCTTACCAAGTGTTGTTGTTGTTGTTGTTGTTTTTTTACAGTGATTATGGTTTCGAGAGAAGGACTGATGGGAAATGTACTCCAGCATTCTGGTTCTCCCCCTCCTCCATGTCTCGGACCTGCACCACAGAACACACGTTCCTCAACAGCACTGGGTGAGATCTTGGGAGACGCATGCATCTTACCATTTAAAGTAATTTACAACATGTTCCTGGATCAATAATGACTGGTTGATGGTAATGTTGTTCCAGGAATATGTCTAATTTGTTTTTATGTGAATTAATTTGTAATGCTTTTCTAATCAGACGTCACTTATAAAAAGTGGAGCAGAACATGAGCAATTAGGGGTTATTTATATTTGCTTAATTAGATAGTTAAGATATGTTCGGCATTAAACGAACACGGTAGTAATATTTTCTTCCCTATTGTTATGTAAATCTGAGTAAAACAGCTTCTTGAATGGGGAAAAAATCTAGGGCGGGACATGATTCTATTTGTCAGGTATTGATTGGATGGTTGTGGTTTGCTATTGGTCGATCTTATGCGGGTGACAGGACAGACAGGCGCTCTCGCGCCATTAAACACGTCATCAGAGGAGAGAAGATTACAAGGGCACTTGAATTTAAAATAAAATAATAATGCGCATTGCGCACAAAAAATTTCTTCTAAACACTCCAATATTCCATAAGAAAATAAAATTGTCCGTTTTGATCTTAATAGTTAATTTAATTAATAAAAAACTGCTCCTTTATATATATATATATATATATATATATATATATGCGTGTTTATATGTCTGTATATATATAATGTGTGTGCGTGTGTATATTTGATCATATATATATATATATATTAAGGCTGTGAAATGATGAATCACGATTAATCACATCCAAAAGAAAAGTTTGTGTTAACATAATATATGTGGGTGCACTGTGTATAATCAATATATATATATATATATATATGAAGAGTTCAGATGCAAAAGCCTCTAAATGCCATTTGAAATTTTCATCTTTAATGATGATTTTTATCAAACTTGTATATTTAAGTTCAGTAATTTCACTTAAATAACAATTAATAGGTAATTATCATTGCCATTTAAGTGAAATTACTGAACTTAAATATACAAGCTTGATAAAAATCATCATTAAAGAAGAAAATTTCAAATGGCATTTAGAGGCTTTTGCATCTGAACTCTTCATACACACACACACACACACACACACACACACACATGCTTGTATATATTTAAGGAATATTTTCATGTATATACTGTATATAGATTTATATTTAATTTATATTTTATATAAATATTTGATATACAAATAATATTTTTTTTCTTAAAATTGTACACAGTGCAGAGTGCATCCACATATATTATGTAAACACAGACTTTTATTTTGGATGCGATTAATATATATATATATATATATATATATATATATATATATTATAATATATTATTATTATAATATATATTATACATATATATTATATGTATGCATATAAGCTTTATTACTAGCTTTTTTAACAACTCATAATTATAAATTATTATTAAGGGCATATATATATATATATATATAGTTTTTGAAGTTTTTGATTCGCTAAGAAAGCTTGTGTGTGAGAGAGATTTTCAATAAAAAAATTCACCATCTGTATTCTCAAATGATTTTGATGTGTGAATCATTAGACATTTTGTGTGTTTTCACTGTCACACATAAGCACACTAATTTCAGTGCTAATCGTTTTGAGAATAGGTTTTAATGGGAATGCGTTTTATGCGAATGTGTGTGTGCAGGTACAGAAAGGTGGTGTCTAACAACTGCACCGGTGGGGTAATGGAGCAGTACACGGCTCGTAGGCAGCTGTGCCCTAGCCAGGCCCCTCGCGGCCTCCACTTAGTGACCAGCGAAGGGAAGCTAACAGCTACTCTGGCCAGCAACGTCACCTTACTTGTGTTCCTGGAGGAGGTACAGACAGATTCATTCTTCCCTGGACCGCTTTTCACTGACAAAATTATATATTTCTTTTGCTGAAATATTTCAAATAGCATCTAACTCCCACAGCGCAAAGAAAACACAGAGTGTTATGTCCTCTGCATTGAAATACAGTTTTCTATTTTAATATATTTTGGGATGCAAAGCTGAATTTTCAGCATCATTACTCTAGTCTTCAGTGTATCATGATCGTTCAGAAATCATTCTAATATGCTGATTTGCTGCTCAAGAAACATTTTGAAACATGTTTAAAACTGTCACGGCCCTGTTTAGGTTACATTTACACGACAACGATGTACTTGAAACCGAAATGTTTTTCCTTCGCATTTTCCGCATACAGATGACAACCCATTCACACAGATCCACGGAAATGATTAAAAAAGCTGTATTATCCATGCCTGGCCAGTAGTTGGCGATGTCACTTTGTAAAGAAAAAATACACTCATATAGGCTCAATTCCAATTCACCCCTTGGCCCTACCCCTCTGTTTTGCGCGTTCACGTCTAGGGTGTCCCGATTCTTGTTGAGATCGAGGGGTAGGGCGAAGGGGTGGGGCTACATAGCCCTCAAAACGGAGATTTAACAGAGGCACACTCCAAACAGAGGGCTACGAGAAACTTCACAGAATGAATCGCAAATCACCGACAAGATGCCTTCGCAAACAGTTAAACATTTAAATTTAGCGCCAGATGACACCACCATGCACTTAATTTACTCTTATAATAATACTATAGTCATTTAAATTAAGAAATGGAAAAATAAATGACCTTTTCAAATCAGAAAAGACATACATTTCGAGGAAGGGATGTTTTCCTCAAAGTTAAGAGCAGCTTCGCTGATTGTCAGTCGTTGTCATGGAGAAATCCTTTAAAAACTCTGTAACGGCAGAGCCATCGGCAACGATTGATGATGTATCGGGTTCATGAAGGATTGTTCTACGTCGTAGGGGAATATTTCAACCCCTTGGCCCTTGTAACTCTGTTTTAGGGGCCAAGGGGTTCACTCGAAAACAAGGGGTAGGGCCAAGGGGTGAATTGGGATTGAACCATAGACTGAACACGTAATATGCATGCGCATGACGTGACTATTTTCAAATTAAAAAAAAAAGTATCAACACTTTAATGTGGGTAAGTTTCATAAAAACATAAACATTTTGAAGAAAAAGCTGAGAAAACACACGTTTTTGTCAAAGACTACATCTGGATCGAGTTTAGAATGATGATCAAAACACAGATGGAGAAGATCCATCAACAGCCTAAGGCTGTGTGTCCACCAAAGCGTTTTTAGCCAGCTGAAAACGCTAGACGCTCTGCTGAAGACGCCGTGCTTTGGGCGCTTGAGAGCGTTTTGGCAGCGCAGCGTTTTTTCCGTTGCTATGATACAGAATATCCGCAGGAGTTGAATGTTGTGACAGTTGGTCGGTGTGGTATTAGTCCCGCCCCTCCTCCACTGTGATTGGACGGCTGGGTAAAAAGTGACAGTGATGAGCGCTGCGTTTTATCCAAAGTTAAACATTTTTCAACTCCCAGCGACCAGTAAAAAACACTGGGCGCTCGGCGCTTCAGCGTGAAAAAAACGCTCAGCGCCTCGGTACGCTCCCATTGAAAACAATTGAAAACATACGCCAGGCGCGTGGAAAAAACGCTTTGGTGGACACACGGCCTAAAGCTTTCACAGTCCTAGACCGACATTTCATACAGTAACATTTGGCAGTTTTGATTTGTATGCTTTTTACTATTGGTGATTCCGTTATTTTATAGATGCATATGATTACATATGCTATCGCTTGTTTTGATCGGGAGATTCAGTACTCTTTCAGAAGAATATGTGTATAACACGGAAAGCCGGAACTTTCTGTTAAATGCCCCCTTTTTTCAATCTTTCTGACACCAACCTTTTGAACGGTAGTGTGTTTACTCCAATTAAACAATCTAAACTGACTTGTGAAGTTATATTGAATCTACAGATAACCCCCAAAGAACAGAGATAACCCTCGTCCTCAGCATAAAGTAGGCATGTTTTATCTGTAAGATTTGAGAACTTCTTTGAGAGCGTTTTGCCTGCAAAAGAGCAACGTTTTCCCATGGTAGATCTCCGCTCTGGGCAGAGAAGACGCCCTCCAAAGCAGATGAACTGACAGTTGAATGAATCATACTCAGAGCTTTGGCAATGTCATAGTCAAGAACGCGTTTTGCTTCCTGCCTCAAAAAAAAAAAAAAAAAAAAAAAATCAGATATTACCGAAAATACTCTAAATAAAGAACATTTGTGAGAATCACCAGCTAGACCAGCCCGGCTGTTTTGTATTTATTTTTTTTTCAGTCAGACTCAATGTTTCATGTTATTGCCTTTTTCCTCAGGGTGATGGATCTAAAACCAGCATCACGGTGGATTTCGGTGATGGAAACGCCTTCACCTACTCCAACGTGAGCTCTATTGAAGATGGCATTAAACACATCTACAAGAACGTGGGAATCTACCGAGTGTCAGCCACGGCGGAAAACAGTCTGGGCTCTGAAACTGTGCTCCTCTTCCTACACATTACATGTAAGCCAAAACGTGGGAGAGCGAGTAACACTATGCCTAATACAGACAGCCGTATCGTATTCCACTTTTATATCCTTAATGTATTTGCAAGACCTACTGAGCACTCTGAACTCATATATGCTTTATTGACCAGAAAGATCTCATTTAGCTTTGGTCATATTGCACTCCACATTAAGCGATCTAGATTTCTAGCTCATAGTCTCTAACTGGTCCACCAGATTAAAATCATCCCTCTTAGTTACTGCCGAGAGACACTTTGGTGTACGTCGAAGGTCTTGAGGACGCAAAGTATCATATACAGGTCTGATGAACTTGACTTAGTGTAACTTTTACAATTAGCAGCTGTAAAACTGTAGGATTTAATTAGTATGAAAGATTTACTTTTACACAATGTACCAATTTTATACTGCAGATAAAATTATTTACAATATATTTTCGTGTAGGCTACAATGAGCACTTCTGAGGAAGATTTGGCAGTGTTTGTGGCATGTATTCTTAAAAAAGATATTCAAGAGTTTCAATCAAGGACGTTTTGGGGTTTTATTGCAACTATTTGGAATATTTGATTCTAATTCTCGTGATTCTCTATGACATAAAACATACACTGTGCATCCGAAATTGCATACTGTCTGAGTACTACATTTGAATTTGAATGAACATGGGTTGTACGAATACAATTCGGACGTACTCCACCCACCATGTTGTCACTAGCCACATTTCCATTGCCCTACAAATTGCGCAAATTGAAATCGCGAAATGAAAATACGCACAATGGAAACACGTCCATTTCGCAAAAACTCCCGTTTATCGCAAAAAAAAAAAAAAAAAAAAACGTTTTTACACTCGCATGAGGAGGTTTTTCGGGCAATTCGAAAAAGGAATGTTTCGCAAAACTGCAATGGAAACGGGTTTTGCGCATTTACAGTCAACTGACTGTAGACGCGGTGTGTTTTGGGTCCGTGTCCGCAAATAATAATAATAATTATCATCATTATTATAACATTTATTAGGCTACATATGTAGAAAACACTTTTATCCAAAAAAAAGGAACAAAGCAATTCGTCACATTTCATTCATAATACAGGTTGGACAATAATAATAGGGCTAAGATTATCACAAATAAACACAAGATTTTGACGCATGTCAAAGTGTGTGTGGAGTGTGGATTGGACGTCAGGGAGGCGCGGTCGCGAACACTTGTTTTTTTTTTTCCTATTAACAGTGGAAACAACTTAAAATACTCAATTTAACAACTTATGAACTAATGGTCATACAGAAAATAATAATACATTATTCGCAACTACTTTTATTTGCGTAATCTCACAAGAAAACGTTTTTGTTAACGTGCTTTCGTAAAATAAAATAAAACAATCAGGCGCTTTCATGGTCTCTGTGAACTGAAGCCCGAGAACTGAAACAATATATAGCCTTTGTAGACTAAAGCTTTAAATGTCCACTTTAAAACGATTTTTTTACATATAAGCATGTATATATTTAAGAAAAATGTGTTCTTAATATATCAAATATTTATAATTATATATACTATTAATTATGTATAAATAGATATAAAGTATTATTTTTTTTTAAATATATACATGCATGTGTGTTTATTTATATATACAAAAGAATTATACACAGCACACACATATATATTATGTAAACACAAACTTTTATTTTGGATGCAGTTAATCGCGATTAATCGTTGCTCAGCCCCTAATGACTGCTATTTGACTTGTAGTTATTATTAGAATGTCTAAGTTGCAAATAAATCCAAACAAAGTGTTACCAAATTAATTAATTATTACCACATTTTAGCTTGTTTAATATGGTTTGTTTAACAATAGTGCATATAAAATGCTTAAGTGAGTGTGAAGCTGTATTTTGCCTCTATATTATATAGTTAAGACCATTATTGAACTGCATTTATGCCTCTGAAAGGTTTGAAAAGTCATCAAAAAGCATAATTTGAGATGTACTTGCCCCTTAATGTTTTGAAGAAGAAGAAAAAGTGTGGTTGGTCATTTCACATGTTAGTCAAATGGCCTCCTCCTGTCTACGTGGGTGGTTCTTGGCTAGAATATGAATTAGACTTCATGCCAATTATCGAACAGACTACTCTATCCTGTTACGTAACAAAGTCTTCTACTAATGTTGGAAGATATTATTTTAGCACATTCTAAGAACAGATGGCCTGAGTTCTTGTATCTTTTATGTGTGTGTGTGGTTTCAGTCTGTGTTTGTGCTATAGGAAGCTCATCACAGAAATTATCTGAGCATTTTTATTGAAATTTCCAGCCTTTTTCTCATGTCCACCTACTCAGTGAACTTGCCACCCCCTGCTACATTCAGGCAGACAGATGCCTCCACACTGACATATTGATCAGGGAGACGAAACGCTTCCAATCTGTCAATCCTGTCGTGCCAGGCAAAGCAAATAGGGCCCTTGGTGCATGAGCTGAAATTCACACGCAGATGGCTCTGTGTCCCCAAGAGAACTATTTGTGAATGAATGAATATATGGTGGAATATTAAGAGGATGTGTAGTTTGTGTTGTAACTTTGTATTCTTTTGTCTTTTTTTTTTTTTTGTATTCATCTCAGTCAAGATAACTGTGTTGAAAAAACATTCCACCATAACTTGGCCACATTATATTAGAATACACTAGCCTAACCATTCAAAAGTTTGGGGTTGAAAATGTTTTTTTTTTTTTTTTTTTTTTTTTTTTTTTTTTTTTTTTTGAAAGAAGTCTCTTAGGCTTACCAAGAAGCCTGCATTTACTTGATCATATATATACAGTATATATATATATATATATATATATATATGAAGAGTTCAGATGCAAAAGCCTCTAAGTGCCATTTGAAATTTTCTTCTAGAATGATAATTTTTATCAAGCTTGTATATTTAACTTCAGTGATTTCACTTACATGGCAATGATAATTACCTATTAATTGTTATTTAAGTGAAATTACTGAACTTAAATATACAAGTTTGACAAAAATCATTATTAAAGAAGAAAATTTCAAATGGCATTTAGAGGCTTTTGCATCTGAACTCTTCATATATATATATATATATATATATATATATATATATATATATATATAGAACTTTTTTCCTGCCAGCATTTTGTTTTTTAAAGCAGTCAGCACCAGCGTATTTGACAATTTTCTCAAAAAATGTCATGGCCCCCAGAATATTTTGTTGTGTGAGTATCTGAATATGCAATATATCAAAAAAAAAAAAAAAAAAAAAAAAAAAAAACAGACCCTCTGCTTCCAAACAACAACAACAAAAGTTATATTCTAGCTGCCTTCATCCATGTATTTTCTTATCAGCTCTTGAATGTGGGTAAGTTTCATAAAGAAAGCAATATTTTGAGCAAAAATCTGAGAAAATGGCATTTATGTTAGTTGCACAGTCCTAGACCTCGTCATGGGTTGACATTTCATTCAGTAACATAAGGAAGTTTTGATTTATATGTTGTTTAATGTTGATGATCTCGTTATTTTATGTATGCATATGCTTACATATGATATCTCTTGTTTCTGCCTTTCGTTTTGATTCAGTAGATGAATTTCATCTTTCAGAAGATGTGTAATAGCGCCCCCTACCATAATAATAAAAACACGAAAGCCGGAAATTTCCGTCAATGGTGGGAATTGCGCAAGTCTATGAGTTTTTGCTGAACTACGCCCCCTATGGCGACAAGCGAAACTGCAGCCAGAGGTGTGCACACTCTGTTTATAACCAAAGGAGCATCAGCCGCACAAATCTTTTGTTACAGTCATAATATCTTCAGAGGTAATACAGTTATAAATCTGCAAGTCATTTTAAATATATGAAAGGAAAGGCATCTGAGTAAATTACACACTTACATGTGTGTGAGGGGATAACGGGATAGAAAATTTCGTTTTTTGTTTCCATCTATCTCCATGTTGAACTGTTTTATGTGCTTACTGTATCCACTCATGATTGTATTATTATAGAAACACGTTCATGAACAATATAAGTTATTACTTTGTGTAGGACCCGTTTGAGCCCTAGAGCAAACCGGAGATCTCTCCATTTGTTGAAAGCCTTCCCGTTGTTGACTCTCGTCTTATTCCCGACGCCTGGCACTAGACAAAAGTTTAATTCTACTATGTCTTGTCTTACGTGGAGTTTGCGTTGGGGTTTGGAATGAGCTCCAATCTGGTCTCTTTCAATCCATCTTCTACGTTTGTTGAAAGTTGACTACAGTTTTGTCGCTCGAGTTGTCTTCACTGATACGGAGAATGGCGGCGAATACACAAACCTGCCAGACATAACCAGGTGAGCGTGACGTCATGCCCAGTCTTAAATTCTGTCCCGAATCCCTCCTATTTATTTTACTGTACAGGATTATAGAGCCAATCGCAGTGATCAGAGAAGGGCTCATTCAGCACATCTGGCAATAATGTTTAAGCATGTATGGGTTAGAAAAACGGCTATTTTTAACATGAAATGTTGCGCAATGCACCTTTAAAAGAAATTTTATTTGGAGACCATCAAAATAAAGTATTAGCAGAGAGTCTACTAGTTGACAGTCGAAGTGGTGCTATAGAGTTTTGTCACTAAAACAACACAAACGGGTTCTCTCATCCGTCTCCAACACAGCGGGTTTGAATACGATGAAGTGAAGATTTGAGAACTAGCGAACACTATTTTACTCTCTGGCTTAACCGACCTCACTTTTATTTTTATTTCTCTCTTGGAGCAGGTCATCTGGAATCTGTTCATCTCTCCGCCCCTTTTGTCGCTGTGAAAAATAAAGAAGTCAATCTGACGGTGGTTCTCTGGCCTAGCCAAGTGGGAACAGTCACCTATATCTGGTGGTTTGGGAATAATTCAGAGGTAAATTCTCCACGTGTCACTCACTGGACACCTTGTGCATGACTCTGTGCGTGTGTTTGCCTCACCGGCTCGGCTGCCATGTAAATAAAGTTGGCATCTTCAATGAGACTACGCTGACGGGGCATCCTCTTGAGAGTCTCTTTCACGCTTTATTCACAGCCCGTGATCACGCTGGAGGGGAGTGTGGCGTTCACATTCTCTCAAGAGGGAATCAGTGTTGTCACTGTGCAGGTTTCCGCCGGGAATAACATCCTACAAGACAGGAAAACTGTTGCTGTCCATGGTGAGTTCGACTAAAAAGAGTAGTGTTTCTGTTTGTTGAAATAAAAACTAATACAAAAAAAATGTGTTTGGTAACTGAAATAATTATTAAATGTATATATAACAGCACCTCCACGTTAAGTCAACATAAAATCAAAATTATTTCAGAAATTCAATGGTGGATATTTTCAACCATGCCTGTCATGTAGAGAACCCATAACTAAACATATTTTACAATGCAATTAATTCTTGATGCATAAAAAGGAAAGAAAGAAATCAGCCCCACGCTGCATTTTTCTTATTGAAATGCGTCATGAAAAAGTGAAGTTGAAATGAAATGCATTCACAACCCATTTCAAGCACTAGATCACATGTGTTGAAAACAAAGTATGTCTCCAAAATGATTTGTGATTATAAGAACACCTTATAATTATAAAAATATAAGACTTTTTTTTTTGTTTTATTCCAATAACAGAATACTTCAGATCTCATCTTCTTGCCTTTTCATCCAATCTGGATGATCACAACCCTGATGTGTCCGAATGGAGGCTTGATGTGAGTCGAGTCATTAAAACCTCTATGGTGCAGGTGAGTTCAAACCATTTACCACAAAAAAAAAAAATCCGCCATTAAAGATTTCAATCTATAATACTTTATTGTATATTTAATATAATGCAGCATAAGCAAACAGCCCTGAAATTACCACCTAACAAATTAGTTTTACTGTACTTGAGTACATTTTTCATCTATCAGAGTATTTTTATATTTGACTTCACTACATTACAAAGCATAATATCATACTTTGTACCACTACATCCCATAAAAACATATTGTTCCTCGTTATTTCAAACGGAAGAAATCGCCACCCCCTCTGAGACGCAAGAGCGAAGTCCGATTTGTGAACGAGAGTTGATTCTTTCACGTGAATCATTTGAATTGGTTCGTAAAAAACATTGAACAGTTCATTCGCAGATTAGATCCAGTTACTTTTACTCAAGTAAAACTGAAATTATGTATTTAAATTAACTCAACCTAAAATGCAACTCAAATTAAAATGCTATTTGGCCAGTTTGAGTCTCAAAAGTCTCTCTCTTTTTTTTTTCTTTTTTTTTAAGGTAGACAATATTAACACTGTCCCTGTCAAATAAATAATAATAAAAAAAAATTAAATAATAAAAAAATATATAAATTCCAGATATAAAAAGTGCAAAAATATACTGTAAGTGTAGTCAGGATTTTTGCTGGGTTTTCATGCTCCACACTTTGCTTGTGAAACATCAGCTTCTAGATTCACCTTCACTGACAGGAAAAACACAACTATTCAAACATATGGCATGACAGACTGAAATGATCATCAGTGTTCTCCCTCACGTACCCCGTGGCATTTTCAAGAGGCTGTTATAAGTGAACATTGGGACTTTCTTTATGAATGTTTATGGAATATGACACTTGAGAATAACGGTTCTCATGTGAGCCATATGCATGTTCTGCTCCAATTGTTTATTGGTTATGTGTGTAATGAGTTTTGCTCAGGCCATATGAACAGGAACGTGGTGGACGTTGTGACCTTGCAATATGAACCTGGGAGGATTTTATATATTTATATCCTGAAACAGAAACAAAAATATTCATGTACTCTCATTTTGGTCCGAACCTAACTTAACTACAAGTTCTTGTTTTGTGTGTGTGTGATAAAAAGGAGACATACTGAATACTGAACTGATTTGTTTGCAATAATGAGAACAAATCATGTATAACTTCATGTATGAGGGAGTAAATTATGCTAAAATTAACATTTTTACATTAAACCCTTTAAATGGATTAAAGCTGTAATTGACCTTAATGATAAATAGTACACTAAAATAAATGGTAATATTATTAAAGGGATAGTTTGAAATAGATTTTTATGTTTTAGTTTACCTCAAGGGCACCCAAGATGTAGGTGTCTTTGTTTCCGCAGTAGTTTCAATTTTGATATTTTTAGGTCAAATCGTTCGTGTCTATCAGTCATATAATGGAGGTCTATGGTCACCACCTCAAAGTCCAAATTAAACATGATTTAATGACTCGTAAATGTAAGTACACATTGATGCCCTAAGACATGAAACGAGCAGTTTGTGTGAGAAAACGAACAGTATTTTTACCTCTTGTAACCATAGCCACGAAGCGCCCGAGCCCTCAGATCACTTGGACGTGGCTGTGGTTACAAGAGGTAAAAACGATATAAATACTGTTCGTTTTCTCACACAAACCGCTCGTTTCGTGTCTTAGCCGATCAGTGTGTACTTACATTTACGAGTCATTAAATCATGTTTAATTTGGACTTCTCTGTGCATGCTCTTTGAGGTGGTGACCATAGACCTCCATTATATGACTGACAGACAAGAACGGTTTGACCTAAAAATATCAAAATTGAAACTACTGTGGAAACAAAGACACCTACATCTTGGATGCCCTTGAGGTGAGCTAAAACATACCAAAAATGAATTTCAAATTGAACCTTTAAGTAAAAATTATTATTTTATGTCGTTATGTATTTGATTAGAAATGCAGTGAAAACAGTAATATTGTGCAATATTATTACAATTTAAAATAACTCTTTTCTATTTAAATACTTTTTGAATACAAACACCTTTTTGAGGGTTATTGCATGATCATAGAAAATTATATTATATACATTATTGAGGTTTCTGGACTGGGACCCCAAACATTTAAACTGTAAAGTCAATTCCACAAGAACATAACAGTTAAAGGCCTTGTCTTTGTTTTTTGTTTTTTTGTTTTTTTTACCTCAGTTGGTTCTTGTGTTTCTCTAATCTGTTTCTTGGTCTTCAGGCGACAGGAGTGAATCCTGAACAGCTGTTGGTCACTGTGTTGCCTGGACTTCCCACAACGGCCGAGTTCT